TTTTTTTTTTTAATATATATAATAGTATTAATGTTCTTATATTCTTTTTTTTAGAACGAACATAGTACTGAACGATCGTTGGAACATATAGAATGGATGTATTATGATAATTGAGGTTTTTTTTATATAACAGTACTTATGTTCTTTTCTTTAAAAAATGAATGTAGTATGATTGAAACAGACATAGTATAGTAGGTTTGTTTTTTTTATATATAATTTAACAGTACTAACATTCTTACATTTTTTGTTCTTTTCTTTAAAATGAATATAGTACTGTATGATTGTTAAAACATATAAAATGGATATATCATGGTTAATCATAGTAGAGTAGTCTTTTTTTTTATATATATATCTATAACAGTACTTACGTTTTTTTCTTTAGAATAAATGTAGTATGATTGGAATGGACGTAACATGACAGTTTTTTTTTATAATATAAGTACTAATGTTCTTATATTTTTTTCTTTATAATGAATGTAGTACGATTGTAAAAAATAATAGACATAGCACAAAAAGTAGTATACGATATACTAATGTTTCTTCTTTTTTTGTAATGAATATAGTATGATTTAGTTAATATGAGCGTAGCAGTAACATAATAGTTAGTATGATAGCTAGGAATAGCACGATAGTTGGCATAATAGTTGGGATATAGTATGATAGTTAGAATCAGCTTATTTTATATATTGTATTTATTTTGTATTTTTTTTTTTTTTTTTTTTGTTTATTTTTTTTATTTTTTTTGAAGTAAAAACATATAGACTCATGTGATCAATTTTGATTGGTCGATTATGGGGTCGCTATAAAATAACACCTTTATTAAAAAATTATTTAGATATTTTAAATTTTTAAAAAAGCAATTTTTAAACAAATTATTTAATATTGTTTTATATTATAGTTTAAAAAAAAGAAATTTATAAATTTATCTATAGTATATATATATAAGTATAATTTATTAAATTACTAATTTGTATAATATACTAATTAAACAATTTTTTATAAACAAAAAATTTAAACCTTACTTATGATCATAGTTTATATTAAAATTTCTCAAGGTATTTTTTTTTAGAAGCTAAAAGGTGATTTAATAAGCAAAATTTTAAAATATCAGTTGGTTTATATATTACTCATATATATGCACCTCTTGTACAAGTAGAAATTGTCTTAAAAAATATTTAATTTTTAAATTGTTAAAATACAATATAAAAAAATACAATATTTAATTAAGTTTTAAAAACAAATAAATTTTATAGTTTTTTGTTATTAAAATATACTGTAATTTTATAGTTTTTTGTTATTAAAATATAATTTATAGTTTTTTGTTATTAAAATATATAATATAGTATATTACTAATTATAACTAAAATAGTACTGTATAACAATATATATAGTAACTAAAGTATATTAGTAAAGCCAATTTTTTTTCATACAGTATACAAAAAAAAAGTTTACACAAAAATAAATATATTTTTAGCAATATAAATATATATGTATATAGTATATAGTAAAGTATATAGTGTATTTACAATATAATAATGTTATTACTATATTTACTCTAATTAAAACTTTTTTTATAACTATATTTTTGATATTATTGCACGACTTTTATTAGTATACTGTAAAGAGAAAATGATTAAAAATTCTTTTAAAAACTAGTTTATGTACGTAAAAAAAAATTTTAACGAACTTGAATATTTTAGCAATAGTGAAAAGTGGTTTAATCCACGTGAGCTAGACACTATTGACAAATAAATACGTGATCTGGCATTTTTTTTTTGTTGTAAAATTTTACTCGACAATGCATTATTATGCATTATGCAAAAGATTTATTGTACAATTTAGATATTAGGTTAAAGTTGGTATAAAAAGTACATATGTGTACATATGAACAGACGAATCCGCTATTCGTACCACAAATTTCCCTATGGAGAGTAATTGTATCCAGTGAAGGTAAAGATAGCTTAAAAGCTTTAAGATAATGAATTAAAAATTGTTTAAAAGGTTCATCTTAACCTTTTTTTAAAAAATTTTATATAAAAAAATGGTTAAAACGCTAAATTAAAAACTCATTTCAGAGATTTCAATTGAATCTCGGATTAATGGATGCAAGACTCCGATAAAATTTATATATTTTTTTTTCTGCACGTAAATTCACACAAAACAAGTAAAAAGAACACTTAATTTTATTGGTGGAAATTTTACGTCTATATTATTCCGTGATCTTTGCGCCCATGTAATTATTGTTATAGCTAATTACCTTACGCATGATGTGTACAAACACAATATGCTGCTATTATTTATTATTACACATATATATATATATATATATTTATTTATTTATTTATCTATTATATATATATTGTTATATGTTTATTATATAATTTAATGCATTATAAAAATCTATATAGAGATTGAAAATAAAAATAATTAAGATACGTAATTAAATGATAACGCGTGAAAATCCATTTTAATAAAGACATTTTAACGATAAAAAATAAACCAATTGAATTTGATACTTAAAACATAAAGAGAAAGGATATATTTTTTGTACACAATTTCGAACACTAATAATACAGTACAAATAATTTACAATATACAGTACATGATACGTACCAATTTACAGTACAGCTAGTTACTGTATAATTTTTTCACAGAATATGTAAGTTTATTATAGTAATATTCGTTGTTTGTTTTAAAAAGACAATGAGAAAGTCTTTACCTTAATGACCTTACAGAATGAATGCAAAACTATCATACGATAAAGTTTATGCAAAATATATTTTTTCAAAATGCTAATTTCATTTTTTACATCTATTTGTTATTTAATTGGTAATAAAAAAAAAATCAAATCGAATGTGGTTTTCAAAGAATATATTTATTATACGTATACGTATATGCGTAGCATTATACCTTAAATAGAGATAAATGCACGAAAATTGACTTGTATAAATAAGTTAATTGTTAATTCCAAGTTTGGGAAATAACGAAACACGCGAATTTTAAATAAATGATGACAAATCAATTATTTTTATGAATGAAAAATAAGGAGTGTTTGGTTTTAGATTTCGTATTATGTCATAATCGATAGCGTACAATAGGTTTTTTTTCATGCATCTAGTCATTCATAAGTGCATTTGTTAAAGTATTCAAAAAATCGGTACGTATAATCAAATATATAGCTTACTATATATATATGAATATATATGAATTTAGTAATACGTATAGGCAGTATACATAGATATGTATACATGAATATATAATTTGTTTTTTTCTTTGTTGCTAGCAATATTTGGATAATTAGTAAGGAATCGTTTATAAATGCATGTGACCAATGTGACCAATGTAACCAATGTAACGGATATAAAAAAAAACTAATGTACTTTAAAGTAGGGTTTGCATATTATACATTTTTGAATCAATTGAATTTTGTAAATTTCAAATAAAAAATACCCCACAATATTTTTCCCGATGTTAATGCAAATTTATCCCGTGATTTTTCCGACGCGTCCCGGTAAAAAGAAATTGGTCAGTCATCGGTCACATAATAAACTTATATGTATGCGTAGACAATTTTATCATAACAGATAACTAGAAGGTAAACAAAATTTTTTATCGTTATACATTTTTTATGTAGCATTTGATTTGAGAACTTTCTATTTGTATCTCCCGATTTTTCGTTAAATTCAATTAAATTCGGTAATTTTTATCAATATATCTAAAATTAACATATTACATTAACAAAAATTATCATAAAAAAAAAAAAACATATATATATATATATATTGAGGGCGTTTATACATACCTGCAGACAAGTTATAAACAAGGATTGTTGTACAATACAAAATTCTTTGTTTTTTTTTCATTGTTAAACAAACATTCAAGTAAGTTTTCTTAAAAGTCATTAGAAATCTTCGATAAATTTCCAAACAAACTCTTACAAAAAATCTTACAAAAAATCTTACGCAATATTATGCAATATTACACAATGCAAGGATTATGTAACCCAATTTTCATAAGATAACAATGTGAGGTAAAAATGTGAAAACCTGCGGGGAAGCATTATTATTTTTTAGGATAATTTCTGTCTGATAATGGACGCATAAATACATAATGAAGGGTATATATGGAATAGTTTAAATGTAAATAAATCTTGGAAGTTCCAGTAAGTGATGCATCGGTGAAGGCCGTACTACTGTAAGTTACATTACTGTTACAGTAAAGTGTTATTGTCAGCAATTATGTAATCTACCATTTTTATTTTTATTGATACACTGAATTCTTATCTGTTATACCCACGTGACTTAATTGCAAGGTAAAAATTAATATCGATAATAATAATACGTAATAATAATAATAATAAATAATAATAATAATAATAATAATAATAATAATAATAATACGTAATAATAATAATAATAATGCTGTAATGATACGATAAACAATTATGATAATGGTAAGTTGAATGTTCGAATGTTTTATTTGTTATATTAATTATAAACCAAGCAACGTTACTTGAATTTACGCGAGAAATTTCAATTAACGTCATAAAAAAAAAAAAAAAAGTCGGAATATTAATTAAAAAAAATTAGTGAAATTAAATAAGAAAAAAAAAAAAAGGACAAAAAAAAAAAAAAAAAAAAAAAAAGACAAGATTACTACGTACTAACGCTAAGAAGTTGGACTATGTTACATGTAAAAATCGTAAAAAAAAAGTTTAATTTCTCATATACTTTTATGTGTGAAATTGTAATGCTATTGGAAATGTATTATTTGTACAAAGAAATATATTATAAAAGAATATATTGTATTGTAGAATTGCTTAAATTATAAAATATTATTTAAATAAATATTAACAACTATTTTAATTACTGTACTTTTTAATAAATTCTTTAAAAAATTAAGAAAAACCAATGTCCACAAACTAATAACTTTTTTTTTTTTTTTTCCTTAATACTTTTGGAGATCAACTTTTCAAGTGTACATATAAAAAAACAAACCAATTAAGATGCTTGATACCATGAAACATTTTCTGGTGGTAACATCATATCGTGAGTTTGAGATGCAACAATCACTGGATCAACTACTGATCCAGCAGGTGATCCTACTCCACTATGTGAATATGGTGAATCATGTTCAGGTGATTGATGACCTGACGGTGACGTTGTTGATGCTGGTGTACTTATGCTTAATGGACTTCCACTATTATTTGTCCACATTGGTTGTGAAGCTGGTGTGTTTGACCATATATATAATGAATTAGTATCCCAGAATGTATTATTTGAATCAATACAGCTCATTTCAAGTTGTTTCGTGCCATTCATTGGTAATAATGGATTGAATTGATGTGAAGTTGGCACTGAAATCGGTGTTGAAAGACTTATTGGATTAATAGGTGAGGGAATCAATGATCCACCATCCACCGAATTATGTACCGAATTATGCACAGAATTATGCACAGAATTATGTTGAGGAATGAATTCAAAATGTTGATTTTGTTCTGGGGTAAAGAATTGTTGTTGTTCAGATCCGTCAGCTATTATATACAAAGGTCGCTCATTAAACCGTGGAGGTGATGATTGTGGAAACTGTGAAAAATTGTCTGGAAGACTATTTGGGAGAAAATGATGTCCAGAATCTGTTATCATCATTCCTTGAGTATTTGGTGTTGATGATGTTCTCTTTAAATTAAGTCTTTGTCGGTTCATGTGATTATTTGGTGAACTCGGATGTGATCCTGGGTGGAATAATAAACCATGACGTGCTCTCTGAGCAGTAAAAGCTGCTTCCAAACCATGGACCTTATCTCTTAATTCCCATGCTGAACTTTGATCAACGCAAACCTTGAGGACGCTCAAGGTATTTAACAGATGATCATGAGCAGGCTTAGAAAATCTTAAATCAGGTGATGACATATTAACAAGATGAATCATAGACGCAGCAACCATACAGTATACACCATAATTTCCTCCGCGGATAGGATATTGGAATACGTTAGGACCCCATTGATCATGTATCGCTCTTACGATAGATGATATGTTATTTGCAGCGACAGTACAAATATTTAAGTGATTCGGATTTGTTTGAGTTATTTTTCCATTTTCAATATTCGATATATAAGGTCGATGAAGTAAGATGACTACGGTTTGATATAGGATATTAATAAAACAAGCAAAATGGGATGTTTGAGGTGAAATTCCATTTTCTAATTGTTGATATCTAAGACTAGGTGGAAGAGCTTGTAACCAAGCATCTAATGCCGTATCTAAAGTTTGAAATTTTGGATTTGACGACCAAGCTTGTAACGAACTACCAGAACCTGCTGAAGCGATTGTTGACAATACACTTGAAAGAATTTTTATAAGACGAACGAAATGAACATATTCAGTATGAATTTTGAATTCTTGTTCATCATCGAAATCACTTTTTAAAGGAAGGTCGATATCCGTATTTGACAAAAATATAGAAGTTTCTCGACCTAAAAATCAAACAAAAAGTAAATTAAAATAATAGGTTAAATAATTATTAAACATGATTAATAATAATATTGTAATTATATAATTTTAAAAGGTTATTAATTACCTTGAGCACCACCCATTAATTGATCATAAATGAAACAAGTTTGCCATACGCGTTTTCTAACGATCATATCTTCTCTACTAATTTCTAAATTCCACTTTTCAAAATTTTTTTCTAAATCTAATTCTTGTGCCATTCGAAGAATGATACCAAAATGTAACCAACTTCTGAAGAAGAATCCAGGTCTACGGATACCTTCTTGAAATTTTAACAATAAAATTTGTGCTTGTAAAGTAGATAATCGTGGAGCATCAAAGAAATCATCTAACAAATCTAATTTTTTATAATAAATAAATTTTTTTTTTTTATAATAAATAACCAAATTTTTTAGGACATAAATAAAAATATTTAATATCTTATATTTACCTTTTGCTCTATTAAAATAAATGTATCCAGCAGTTTCCGGTTTCATAGGATCAATACGAACGATAGGGTCATCGGAAAATTTAGCACCCAAAGCCAGTACGGAATAAAATAGTAATGGTGAAATGGGATTACTCTTATCATTAAGACGTCTTATAAAATCATTCTTATTCAAGATTGGAATATAAGGATGAACGTTGGCAAAATAAAGTCCAACTAAATGTTGAATTATTTCAAGTGTAGGATAACAATTTTCTAAAGAACTCTCGCATGGTAATGGTGGTTCCGTGTAGGTACCTTCTTTGATGAGAATATTTCCTTCCAAAGAATGAATATAACTTGCTCGGCCAGTATATGCTATTTTCATGTGACCCATAACGTCAGTTAGAGAGTCAACATAATCAACACCATTTATTACTGAAATATAAAAAAGAGAATTAGATATATATGTTTATAAAACATATAATATTATATAAATATAAAAATATATATATAAATATAAAAATATAAATATAAATATATATATATATATAAATATATATATATATATATATATATATATATATATATATATATATATTTATAATATATAAAAATTATAATATATAATACATATGACAATATATCAAAATCTCGATACAAGAATAAAAATAAGCATACCTTTTCTTGCTTTGATATCATCTTCATCAAGTTTATGTAGTAAACTTTCAGATCGTTGCAATCTTTCATCCATTTGTTCTTGTTCAGTTTTTGGAGCAGCTCTTTTCATGGCCATATTTGAAAAGATACAATCAATTTTTAATTTCCTACAACTTGAACAAGGTGTTTGAGAACCACCAGATCCACCGTCACATTTAACTTTTCTTCTTCGGCATGACTCGCACGCACGTGTGACTTTTAAACGTTTATATCGGTGTAAGTCGTCAACGAAAACATATTCCATCATATTTATATATATGCTAGTAAGTAAAAGATTAGCTAAAAAGAGTAGCTATTTGAAATAATAAAAGAAAAAATATAAATTATTTTTTTTATATAAAGAAATGGGAAAAATTTTGGAGGTAAAATATAAGTTCCGTGATGTATAAGTGTATTTCGAAAGTAATAAAAAAGTAAAGGTGTATATATGCTAAGTATGGTCAGTTAAACCAATTTTCTTTAATTATATATCACCTTTTTTAACGATATGATACGTTAAACGAAGAACTCTTAATACTCAATATTAAAGACGAATAAAATATGAATAAAAATACGAATAAAATACAAATACGAGTAAATACTAAAAAAAATAAAATAAATCTGAGCAAGAACAAAGATCTTTTTTCAAGAGCAGAGAGAATGGGGTTCAAGAGAAGAGCCGAAAGAAAAAAAACCTTTTGAATTATAGAAAAAGTAATATATATATAAATATATACACGTACATATATATTAAAATAAGATGTGAGCGGAATCTTTGAACCTTATACAGCTCAGTTGATTCTACTTTTTTTTTTATTTTTTTTATTATTATTATTATTATTATTATTTTTGCCTGATAAATGCAAATCGAGACGATTTTTATTTTGAAAAAAAGTATTTGGGGAAAGTTGAAGATGATAGAGTTTTTATATCTTAGATGAACAACTTTTTCATTGATTGAAAATATTCAATGTGGCATATAACCTGACTTAACATATTTAATATTTTAGTATAATGGTAATGTCGTACATGTAAAACAATTTTTATTCTTCCAAAGGAAAATTTTGAATTAGAAACTTTGAATAAAGTTTAGATTAATCGATTCAATAAAAAAAATTTTTTTTTTTTTTTATATAACACTACTTTTTGCATAGATTACAAATAGAAATATTTTAGATTACTAACGTCGAGAATATAAAATAAAATATGTGCATATACATTAATTATTATATACATGTTACTATAAAATCTACATTGTGTCACATGATGAACGTGTCATATGAGAGATCAAAAAAAAAAAAAAAAATAAGAATATATAAATAAACTTGTTTCTAGCGGTTGAACCTAAACTATATTTAATATAGCATGGTTAGACAATTTCAATAGCAAAAAGGTGGGGTTTGGAAGTACAGTTTGATAGTCCAGGTATGAGAATTATCGTGTGTAAGAGAAAAAATAAAATATCAAGATAGTGTGTAGTCATGTCATGGCTGTGCTCACGTCTTACTTCATTACCTTAGCATGCAAAAGAAAACAATTAAATGCATATATAAACTTTGTTCCGGAAGATAAAAAAATTTGACATGAAACAACAAGTGTTTCTCTTACTATTTAATTTATGGTGTCATAAGATACGAGCTTGAAGATTGCCTGGTGTTGCAGTACATGTGGCTAATTAACAATAATTACCGTTACTATAACTACTATAACTACTATAACTACTATAAATAATTATTATGATTTTGTAATTGCCGTAGTTACTGTAATTACTGTAATTACTGTAATTATTGTGATTACTGTAATCATTGTAATTATTGTGATTATTGTAATTACCGTGATCATTGTAATTACTATAAAAATTATTGTAATTATTGTAATTATTGTAATTACTGTAATTATTGTAATTACTGTAATTATTGTAATTACTGTAATTATTATTGTAATTACTGTAATTATTATTGTAATTACTGTATATTAAAGTAGAATTCGGAATACGGGAATACTTACTGAATAATATAATAATAATATATTTGAGTACTTTCATATTTGTAGTTGAATAGTACTTCAGTACCATACTATATGAGGGAGGTAAGTACATGCGGTGGTACTGGTCTAGATTTTGATTTCCATCGTATGATCATTTGTTAAAAAAATTTTGCCAGTAGGGGGGTTGAATGCCAATAGTCAATCATCGGAATTTTGGGAAAAAAAACAAAAGTTTCTAACAAACTTCAAATCCGATTTCCATCGAGAGAACGTGGGGTCAACTGAAGTTAGCGCAGCTAATGAGAAATGTAATTAAAGTATTTAATTGCATCGTATTGTTTTGTAATCTAGATTGCATTTGTAATATATTTTGCGTTTCCCTTATATAATTTTATTATAGTTGTTTTAAAGTTACAGTCTAGAACAACCCTTTTTTTAAAAAAATATAGAAAAAGTATGCGCCTAAGAATCTTTTAAATATTTAAGAATATTTGAAATCTTTAAAATCTTGAAATCTAAAGAATTTTTGGTTAATGAATTTTAGGAGTCTTAGATGTGTTAGAAGTACTGAGAAAATCAATATTTTCATGCATAATGATGTTCACATGACATGCTTCGTTAAATTTATTATGAAATATACAAACGTACAAATTTCTTTTCTTTTATACATAATATATAATTATTAATTCTTTATTACGTATTATTACGAATCATTACGAATTATTATACTTATTGATGTTTTAAATAGAAAGCATTCCGTTTTTTTGGCGGTCAGACCACACATATCATGTGATATAAACAGAGATCGCAGTTTTATTTATTTATTTTATTTATTTATTTATGTTATTTATGTATGTTTACTATCAACAATCCTGCAGTTATAACTATGAATTATGAATTATCGTGGATAATAAAAAAAAAAGCTAGCATATATTTAATGATTTATTATGTAGATTGTCCACGCTATAAAAGGAAACCTTTCTCATAAAACATAGTCCAAACCGATTATATTAATTTTCTCTATTTCTATCGAACTCACACTCTTGTTATCTTCAGCGTAAATTCCAAATATCTAAGAAAAGTAAGAAAACTATTAATGACTAATTATTCATTATTGAATAAGATTTAATAAGATTTATTACTTTCCCGATATTCATTAATGACGCAATAGATAAGCGAACTTTGTTTCTTTCATTTTGGTCGCACCACCAGTAACATTTAACTGATCAATCTTTGTCAAACCTTTTTTTGATAACATGTACATGTATTATCGTAATCATTCTTTTTAGACTGATACATTCTCATGATTAGCGCTTATCATTCATTAAATTTTAGGCATTTATCATTTTTATTATCTGATCGTAATCACATTCATTTTCATGATTTTTTGTTAAATGTGTACACTGTACGCATGTGAGCACTCACGCAATGTTTTCATATAATCATAGAAAATTTAACAATATTTTATATATTAATACTCCACAATCATCACTGCATAATTAATAATTAAAAACCTTCTTTTTAACTGTTTATCTCATTTATTATGAAAATCTGATTATCTCACTATATTTATATGCTTCATCATTATATGGTGTAAAATAGTGCTAAGAGTTTCTACTCATTAGCCTAGCTTATTGGACAAATACTAATCATCGATTATTATTAAAAATTATCGATTATTAAAAATGTGATCGTGATCGATTATCTAATGCATGTGCCTGAAATCTACGATCTATTGATCTTCATTAATTGTTTAATTGATTCCCATTCTGTTCATTCTATCAATCTTTTAATTTTTTTAGATTCTTTTAGATGAGTATAAAGAACCAAAAATGGAAAATCTTTCTCCTTACTTACGCCCTTCTTTTTTTTTCTTTATCTTCTTACATAGGTATTACTATCTATCTATCAACAACTTATTTAATTTATCAAATTTACTTATCAATCGAACTTATCAAACTTACTTATCAAGCTCACCTATCAAACTACTTAACTTATTTCATTGTTCTTTATTCTTTATTCCTCAAGATCATGCGTTGGCCTATCTCCAATTTTTAATTTCACCCAACAGGCCCAACAAACAAAAAGTTTCTTCTATTATTTATGGATAATCACACGTGATTTTCAAGTCGCCTTATCAAACCATTTATCATGAGCGTACACGTGGTTTGTCCTAATTCACTGCTACCAATTATATAGAACCGCGTTACTGCGTACAAGGTTGCATTTATATTGATGTTGCATTGGAGTATTTGGAGTATTTGGAGTATTTGGAGTATTTGGAGTATTTAGCGTATGTAAAATAAAAGTTAACCATGTACTTACCATTTATGCATATACAAGTTTATTGTGTCTGTCATGTGTAAAAATTTTAAAACCTCGGTACAAATAATTGTTAACAAATAGAAGCAATTCACAACAATTTTATGCATTTATTTGTAATGCTCAAATAATATTTAGCATATATCTAAATAAATCAATGTTATTGATTTGTAATGCAGTCTATTTCTATCTATGACGTTTTTATGCAGTTTGCATTCCATATCAGCTATCTGCCATGTATGTACGTAAGTACATACTTCCTTTTATATACAAACCTTGGTAATTTTAATTTCGGAAAACATCGTGGTAAGTATGTAAACAAATTATTATTTATTACCGGCATTTTTTTTTTTTTTGTGTTTCTTGTGAATTTGTTTAAACTTATTAGTAATGTTGAATTCTTTGTTTTATATAATGTTATACCATTATTATGACAGCAGATATGAATGAATAAAATAATTTAGAAATTAAACCAATCTTTCAACCTTTTTTTTTTGGTTTTTTTTTTTAAATTGAATATTTTTAGTAATCTAGTATTATAATTTACAAGTCATTAAGATGCATCATATAAAATGCAATGTAACTTATAAAGATACTACTTATCGTAAAACTTGCATTTATCCCAAAAAATTAGCGTTCGAATTAGATCGTAACAAATGGATTCCCAAACTACAAATGTTTCTTTAATTATGCATCGCATTGATTACATGCATTATTTTTTTTAAAAGAATTCCATTTATATGTGTATCTTTAGTCTTTATTACGCCAATGTTAACTACTATTAGTTCGCGTCTTAACTATATTAGATATAGTAGTACCTGATTCAAAATTGTTAAAACCTGATCCCGCAAGAATTTATGTATGCTGATTATGGTTAATCCTTTATTTTATCGTTATTACATATATATCTATAATACATATACAATATACAATATATTCCTTATACAGCATATTATA